ATTCAGTAAGCTAGCAACATGGGTAATTCAGTAAGCTAGCAACATGGTTGAGGAATTATAGCAAGAAAACTGATATGGGGGGGGAAGAGAATAGAATGTTAGAAATGAAGCAGAGAAGGAAGCATAAGCAATAGATTTGATTAAGATCAGTGAGCTGGAGAAATAGCTCAGTGGGTAAGAACACTTGCTATATAAACATCAGGACCAGAGTTTCAATTCCCATTATCGACTATATATGCCTGTAACTCCAGAACTGGCAGGCAGAAACAAGCAGATCCTGGCCAACCAGCATAGCTGAAAGGGAGAGCTTCAGGTTTAGACAGAGATCTTGCCTCACCAGAATAAAGAGGAGAAAAGTAGAGGAAGATGCTTGATGTCCTTCTCTGAGTTCTGCATGTACATACATGGGCATGTATACATTCCCACACATGTACATATACAAACATGTACCACACATGTAATGTAGAGCACAACAAACACAAGTAAAGGAAGACTATTAGTCATGGAAGACTGAGGAAATACTGCATTCAGAAACCAGTAAGGAAAACAAATAAGCATGACCATAACTTTCCAGATCAAATGTAAGAATCTACTGAGATAAAAGGAGTTGGAAGAAAAATCAACGGCAGAGATATCTATTTAAAAATTAGAGCTGATCCAATAAAGGGTCATGGGGTATATCAAACACATATCAAGGCAGGCCCAATATCCTGGAGTTAGCTGGTCAACACAAGATTAACTCTAAGGCTTTTTTGTTGGGAACATTTTTTTCTTTAGTTTAGTTTTCTTTGATGTTTTTTATCTTGCTGATTTTTTAAAAAAAATTTTATTTAAAGAGGAGGAGAAAGAATATAAAGTTGAGTAGGTATGGAGAGTTGTGGAAGTTCTGGGAGAAGTTAGATGAGAGTAAAAATATTGTTAAAATATATGAAATAAACATTTTAATAAAAAAGGAAAAATATATTAAGACATTTTCCCCAAATTAAAAAAGTAAAGAAAAGGGATAGGTGAAATGTTCCTAATCTAGGGAAAAATTAATATTCAAATACAAATAGACACGGCTAGGGAACAACCTTTCCCTGACACATTTCAGTTAATATGTCAAAAGTACACACACAAAAAAAAATATTAAAAGTTGTAACAAGTCCTTCCAATCTGAGCCAGTGCCCTGGACAGACCTTGGGCACTGGCTCTGCACCCAACCCCACAAAACCCAGAGGAAGCTCGACTCCCAGGTACTCTAACATGTCCAGGATCATAGGTGAGGAGGCCACAATATCTGCCCCAACACCTGGATTAACTGGGACTCCACAGGATCCAGGGACCCAGGAACCCCCGCCCAGGCATTGGCGCAAGTTCTTTCCAGTCTTAACCTGCACCTGGAGCAGACCTGAGATGCTGGCTCTGTACCCACTATTAAAATACCCAGAGGGAACCTGATTCCAGGTGATCTGA